TCGCGATGGACAGAGGCGACGCCGTGCCCCAGGCCGAACTTGGAATATCGCTGCTTCGAAAGATGTCCAGGTGCAAGTACTATTAATGCCAGTTCCGATGGTACACTCCACTTCGGCCCACAGCGCCGGCCACGGGCTCGTCTTAACTTCCAAATCATTTGTCGGACCATGACAGAGGCGGTGATCTCCACGCTAGTGTTGCGACGCTTGATGATGGGTGGTTCCTCCGAGAGGAAGTCGCGAAGCATGAGATTCAAATCGGGAATATGTGTCGCTTCCATGCCCCCATCGGATCCGCGTCGCGCGAGATGTCCTTTCAGTTCTTCCAGCGACGGCTTATAAGAAGAAATAATATTATAACGTCGGTTCTTCACACCTGTTGATCGTCCAGAGAGTAGGCGTGCAAGCTTGTGTACTTCAGCCTGCTGGCCCAAAGCTCGTGCCTCACGCAGTTCTTGATGTAGGCGTTCGCGGCGCGCCGCTCGACGCCGTCGAGCCCAACGTCGGAGTTGGCATGAGATGCGCTTGGTCTTAGCCAAAACGCCAAGGCACTCATCCGTAAAATCAGGAAGGTGTCCATATGCATTCCAGTGCTCTGCTGCCTCGAGTCTGTAAATCTTGCGTTGTTTAACCAGGGATACTCGTTCTTGTTGAAGCCGATGTTCCGCTGTGTCGGTAGATCTATTCTCCAGTGCGAAATGTTGAAGTCCGATCTGCTGTACAATCTCCGCCCACTTGTCGTAGAAGTCATCCGTGTGCTGATGGTTCGTGGTGCACTCATTGAAATAATCTGATTGTGCCAGCGTAGCTGTCTCCAACTCATGATGAAAATCCTCTCTACCGGTGCCCGTCTGAAGCGCCGTGGAAAGCTTCTGAAAATCCCATCGTGCTTTCGGTGCCAGAGGTGTCGGGATGGGGAGCTCATATTGCATTTCCAAGACGACAGGGACGCGGTCGCGGGGGGCGCTCTTGGGGATCAGCTGGAGACTTCGACCTGCTTGCCATGCGACATTACAGTGGCGAATCCCTGGCCCAAGACCTTTTGGAATGGCGAAGATGTCCAACGTTGATGCGTCTCCCTGGGCCCCGAAGTACGTGGGTCCTGCTTTTGGCCAGAAAGTCCCTGGTGACATCATTCCGAGATCGAGGAGCATATTCGAAAAAAATTCGCCTGCGGGTCCATTTGGTCGAAGGTGATGGGGCCCTAGGAGGTCCTGGTCGAGATCCACTGGGGTGCCGTCCTCCCAGAGCCCAAATCCAGAAATTATATCCAAACCACATATAGGCGTACTTCTCGCTCGGGTTAGTTTTAGTCGGTGTCGAACATGTTTCATAACTGTCGTGGCATATATAGGTGGGGGGTACGCACATATAGCCGTTAAATCGATATGTCCGCTCTTAATTCTGATTTCTCCATATCTGTCTGCAATACTTCGTGGTCCTGCCTGTACTGCATACACATGTTGTCGCTTCAATCGTGGTCCAAGTACTATGCATACCCCCGCACTGTTGTTACTGAGAGGAGCCCTCTGCCAGCCGAAGTGGATCGCTGTAAACTTGTCACCAATATCTTCAGTGTGAAAATCACGGCCTGTCCATTCCCTCACCCTTGTCCCTGGCAGCATGATTAGGTCGCAGTTCAGGGTTTCCGCGATCTCCCGCAGGCGGCCTGCGGGTACAAGGGAGAGGGGGTTGTAGAGGGCGACGCGCAGGAGGCCCACCATCAGCCCCCTGTATAGGCTCGCCAGATGCATCGGAGGCCGAGCCAGGCTGGTATAAGGTGAGTGAACGCTAAATCTCTCTGGGAGCTAGGGGGTCGCTGCCGCTGCTGGATGTGGGTTTGGGAGGAGATGGCAGCTAGGAGGACGGGGAGGAGGAGGAGGAGGAGGAGGAGGAACACATACCACAAGCACAAACTGCTGGAGATCCGCGCGGGCCTCCGGGAGTCTGTGCCCACGCCGTGCGCGGTGTTCCCCCCTGGGGAGGAGACGCTCGGGCATCCCCGTGGCCTCGGGGCCTCGGGGGGACATCCGCCCCTCTTGGCCCCCCAAGTGCCAGCGCCTGGGGGGGGGGGGCATCTTGGGGCGCTCGCACTTGGCGCCTGGAGATCCCATAGGTAAGGAGGGGAAAAAGCACACAGATACAATTAATAATCGTCGACTCCCCGAAAATATGGGGAAATATGGGGAGTGGGGGGGAAGACAGAAACCTAGAAAACATGGGGAAATATAGGGGATCCTGTTATTTGTGTGTATTTCCCCAATCAGAGCTTGCCTCTGTAGGGGTCCTAGCGGATTCATATGGTTAGGTTAGGTTCGCCGCCGATTTTCAGTGCACGCTCGGGTGCCTGGGTGCCTGGGGGTGCCCGGGTGCCCGGGTGCCCAGGTGCCCGGGTGCCCGGGCGTGCCCGGGGGCGCCCGGGCGTGCCCGGGGGTGCCCGGGGGGGCCCTAGGGGGTGCCGGGAGTAACGACTACGACTACGGCCCGGGGGTGCACGATATTTAGTCCTATAGCCCAATAGCCCCATAGCCCTACAACTCTATATAGCCCTATATGGCTCTGTAGCCCCATAGCTCAATAGCCCTGTATAGCCCCTCTGGCCCTGATTGGGTTTTTTTCTCCGGTATCATTCTTTTTCTTAAGATCTTTTATTTTTTAAAGGGGCTCCCCTCCCGCAGGGCCCCTTCACAGAGTGGGGGGGCCCTCGGCGCCTCCCGCGGGGGAGGCCCCGCGCCGCCGCGCCCCGGGGCCGCCGCCCGGGGCGGCCCCGAGCGCGGGAGCCCCGCGGGCCCGCAGGGGCGCGCGCGCGGGCCCCCACGGGCGCGCGCCCCCCCGGCGCCCCCTCCTCGGAGCCCTGGGGCCCGGGGACACACAAATTAATACACATGTTGTACATATATATATATATATATATATATATATATACATATATATAAACATAGTTTCCCGTCGTTTCTGGGTTTTTGTCTCCCCCCCCCCCTCCCATAGTTTCCCCAAAGTTTCCGGGGTCGTCGACGAGGAATTGCGTCTGCACGTGTTTTCCCCCCCCCCCCCCTGAATCTTGGAGCGCTCGCACCCGGCTCCCAGAGCTCCCAGTGGGGTTGAGCAGGGACCGACCGTCCCAGCAGTTCTATAGTCCCACCACGAAGTGTGCTTAGAAGCCACAAAAAATGTTCCCAGAACAAACAAAAAAACAAGGTTCTTAGAACATAGGCCCGCGGCGCCAAAACAAGACAGTCCCGGCCAGAAGTGTTCTCTAGGAACCTTTCCTGGAGACCACAGGAGTGGGTTGCTCTTGTTGGGTTGCTCTCCCCAGACCCCCGACGCCATGATTTTTTCATGACGTCGATCCCCGGCGGTCTGGACCCATTCCCCGGGACCGGTTTTTCCTCCTGAGTCGTTTTTTGACGGCCCCGAGGGCCGGTAAAGGCCCCCAGATGCCGAAAACAGCGAAAAACCTGCCGTCATGATTTTTTCATGACTCGAGGGGGTCTGGGTCGTTGGTCCCGGGGTCCTTGGGGGCAGAAGCGGAGCTGGAGGAACCCAGCACGGCACAGAAAGCAGCGCTCGGCCCGGAGCTCCGCGCGGGCTCCTCGGAGCTCCGCGCGGGTCCGGGGGCGCCGCCCCGGGTGCCCCCCGCGCGCCCATGGGGAGGGGGGCTCGGCGCCGACGCGAGGAGCCCGCGCGGATCCCCGAAAGCTCCTCCCTGTTCTCCGAGAGTAATGCAGCCGCCTACGTGCTGGGGGGTGCCCTCGCCGCTGGCCGCCGAAGCGGCGCTTTTCTGGGGCGGCCGTGCAGGCTGCTGTGGCAAGGGGCCGCGGCCGCTGCTGGCCGCCGCGGGGTCGGGGGGGGGCCTGGCCTGGTCGCGCGGCCGCGTGTTGGTCGCCTCCTTCCCAGATCATGGCCTCTGAAGTGAGGCCCCTCCGTGTCTGTTTTCCTTCCTCTGTTGATTAGAGCTGTGCGCGGCCCGCTTGGCTTCGACCAGAAGGGGCTCGCTCTCGACCCGCGGATCAAACAAGCTGGTCGCCTCCAGCCCTGGCCAGGGCCTCGGCCCGCTGGACCTCGCTCCTCCTCGTCGCGGCGGTGGCCGCCTGCCCTCGGCGCGCCAAGGCGCGAGCCCAGGAGGAAATGCGCGCGCGGGGCGCCGAGAGTCTACGTGCCTGTGCCGCTGGGGGGGGGCGCAGGAGGACGTGCTACATCGCCGTGGCGACAGTTTCTTTCAATTTGCCGTTTGGAATGGCGCGCTCGTGCGGAACAGTTCGGAGTGGTTCTGCCAAAACTACTCCGCGCGCAATCGCATCCCGCTCGGTAATTCATATGGTTTGGCGCGGAGTAGTTTCCGATCCCGTTTTGGGGTAACACAGTTATTCACGTCTCCGGGGTCGGAAACTGCTCTGGGATGGGAGAAATCTTCACCATAGCAGATCGAAGAAACTGTTTGTCACGGCTGTGTAGCACTATGTGATGATGCTGGAGGTGCACGTCCGACCCGACCGACCCGCATGCATTTCTTCTAGCCTGACATCGGGCCTGTCCCCCTACAAGGGGAGTTTCGACGAAAAATGAAACATACCCCCAACAGCAGTCAAAACATGTTCCAATAAATCGTCTGGGGACTATTTGTTGAGTATCTTTTGACCTTTTTGGTGCATGTTGGGGCATTGTTTTTTTTTCCGTCGAAAATCCCCCTGTAGGGAGACACGCCCGACATAATGCACGTCCGACCCGACCGCCCCGCACGTCCTCTAGCCTCGCGTTCCCCCTGGCGGCGTGGTCCGACAAGCGCCCGCCCCCGACACGAGCACGAGCAGCAAGGAGCCTGGGCGGTGCCGAGGTGTCCCCTGCGAGACAGGCAGGGAGGAGGAGGAGGAGGAGGAGGAGGAGGAGGAGGAGGAGGAGGAGGAGGAGGGAGGAGGCGAGAGAGGAGAGGAGAGGAGGGGGAGGAGGGGGAGGGGGAGGAGGAGGAGGGGGGGGCGAGGGAGGCGGGCAGCCGCGGGCGCCTGCTCCAGCTCGCCCGCGTCCACCACAGCCCTTGCAGGTCGCGTCCACCCGGTCCCACACGGCCCCGCAGTGGGCCTCATCCTCCTCCCTCCTCCTCATCCCCTCCTCCTCCCCTGCCTCTCCTCTCCTCCTCTCTCCTCCTCCTCTCTCCTCTCTCTCCTCCTTCCTCCTCCCTCCTTCCTCCTCCTCTCCTCCTCCTCCTCCTCCTCCTCCTCATCCTCCTCCTCCTCACCTCCTCCTCCTCTCCTCCTCTACCCTCTCCTCCTCTCTCCTCCTCCTCCCTCCTCCTCCTCCTCCTCTCCTCCTCCTCTCCCCTCCTCCTCCTCCTCCTCCTCCTCCTCCTCCCCCTCCTCCTCCTCCTGGCCTCCGACAGCGAGCGGGCCGTCGAGCGGTGGTCCTGACGGGGCTTCGAGCTTATCATCGTTATCACCACCGCCAGCTTCATCACCATCACAATCGTCGTCGTCATCATCGACATCGTCTCGTCCCCGTCTCCAACGTCATCGCCATCCGCATCAGCCTCACCACCACCGTGATCGCCATCGTCGTTGGCGTCGTGGTCGTCTCCATCGCTATCACCGTTTCGCGGTCAGGGGGCGGACATTGCGGTGAAGTTTCACGCGCCCATGCGCTTGCTGAGATCATGGTCATATGAGCTTTGCCGATAAGCCTGTGGGTTGGAGGGCGGGATGGTTGCACGAGCAATGGTGTTGACGACTTGAAGACGTTCAACGATGATCCCGATCCGCAAGATTGGAAAGCCCAAGGTGATTACAATAGAAGGTATACGCCCCCAGGTGCTGAGGGAATAACTCAGATCAGCACCGAGAGAAGGTAGATAAATCCAAGCCAATACTAGGAATACGGGAATGTGTCGGGCTGGTCAGAATCAACATAATCTGCCACACACACTTTTGGAGTTTCGATTAAAATTGTTCGATTGGGGCAGAACTTCCCTCTCTGGCGTGCGGAGCGTACCAACGGCGGCGCCGGAGGCACCGCCCCAGGGGGTCCAGCGCGCGCGCGCGGACCTCTGAAAGTCTTAGTCTCTGCAATCTTGTTCGAGGGCAAGGCTACAGGGGAAGACAGGGAGGGGGACAGAGAGAAGCAGACGGCCAAGCCAGGTGCGCTCGTGCCACATGAGACATGACCGTGTGCCCCAGACAATTGCACCCCCAAATAATCAAGTTCGGGGGTGTGGCGGGGATATCAACGAGTTTCCCGGGGAAGGTGATGCTAGTTATAAATTATGATGATGACGATGCTCATCATGATGATGGTGATCCTGGGCGCTCGTGTAGAATGACCTTGAACATACTGACCCTGCCACTCCCATCTCTGTCCATTGCACTGAGCCATTTGTTTCTCGGGTCGGGCGAAAGGGGGGGATAGCAAAGGGGGGGTTTGAGAATCAGCTCACGTAGCTGATTTTCCCGGCGCCTCCGGGCGCCAGTAGGCGCCCATGTATCGAAGAATGGGCCCCTCCGTGGGGCCGAAACCAGCTGCATGCAGCAAATTTCGTAACCCCCCCTTTCCCAATCCCCCCCTTTCGCCCGACCCGAGTTTCACACGCCGACCGGGGTGAACCCAGGGACCTCGAGCGGCGCGCGGCAGTCGCAGGCTTCGTCCCAGAGTTTGCTCTGCAGTTGGGAAGGGGTGCGCTTGGACACTGGAGGGTGAGGAGGAGGACGAGGAGGAGGAAATGAGCAGGGACCGACCGTCAGGCATTCCTATAGTCCTACCAGGAAATGTTCCCAGAACCCCAAAACGTCCCAAGAAGAGACAGTGTTCTTAGAACATAAGCCCGATGTGTTAAAATAAGACAGACCCAGCCAGAAACATGCTCTGAGAACATATCGTGAAAACCACAACTGGCTCTCAGAGCATTGTGTCTGGCATGCCTACCAGTGGAGCCAGGACGCTTCGCCACTGCTTCGAGGAGGCAGCCCCGGTGGGAATCGGCTGAACGATCTTCGGCGGTGGACAGACCTCCCTTCAGTAAACCTCCCTTTAGTGAAAGCGGCATGGGACCGAAACCGACGGACCTGGACCCGCAAAAATGACGGCCGCGACGTCCCTCCTCCCCCTGGCGCCACGACGATCTCGTGACTTCGCCACGACGCAGAGGGGGCCGCCTGGGCCCCCCCGCCCCCCGGCGGAGGAGTCCATGATGCCCTCCAGCGCGCGGAGGAGCTGCACCTGCTGCAGCTCGATGACGGCACACAGCGCCACGCCGCGGACGATGGAGCCCTCGTCCTGCTCCACCTCTGGCCCCGGAGGAGAAAGAGGAGGAGGAGGAGGAGGAGGAGGAGGAGGAGGAGGAGGAGGAGGAGGGGGAGGGGGAGGGAGGAGGAGGGAGGAGGAGGAGGAGGAGGAGGAGGAGGAGGAGGAGGGGAGGAGGAGGAGGAGGAGGAGGAGGAGGAGGAGGAGGAGGAGGAGGAGGAGGAGGAGGAGGAGGAGGAGGAGGAGAGGAGGGGGGGAGGAGGAGGAGGAGGAGGAGGAGGGAGGAGGAGGAGGAGGAGGAGGAGGAGGAGGAGGAGGAGGAGGAGGAGGAGGAGGAGGAGGAGGAGGAGGAGGAGGAGGAGGAGGAGGTGAGGTAGGAGGAGGAGGAGGAGGAGGAGGAGGAGGGGAGGAGGAGGGGAGGAGGAGGAGGAGGAGGAGGAGGAGGAGGAGGAGGAGGAGGGGAGGAGGAGGAGGAGGAGGAGGAGGAGGAGGGGGAAGGAGAGAAAGGGAGGAGGAAGAGGAGGAGGAGGAGGAGGAGGGGGAGGAGGAGGAGGAGGAGGAGGAGGAGGAGGAGGAGGAAGAGGGAGGGGGAGGGAGGGAGGGAGGAGGAGAGGACGTCCGATCTCAAGCAGGTCCGTGGCAGGCTCGTGCGAGGACTAGGCTATGCTCCCAGACACGGATGCACCACAAGAGGCTTTGCTTTGTCAGCTCGAGGCCAACAGCAGGAAGATCCTGCGCAGGTGTTACGTGCGCCTGATTAGAGTGTGTCAACCAGCAGCCCGAGTTGCATAAGACCATAGTCAAGAGATGGTACCCCACAGTTGAACGGCTGGCAGGCAAGACGCACTGGAATAAGGTCACTCCCCTCCACTCCCCCCTCATCGCCACCCTCCATGACCTCAACGTGCATACGGTGGGGCCCTGGGGCTGGATGGATGCTCCCTGGGGACAAGCGCTACAACTTGCCTCCAGGGGACCTCAAAGGGCAAGCCGAGTTCATGGAGGCCTTCGGCACTCATGTCTCTCAGACGCTCTGGGAGAGGGCCTCGAAGTTTCACCTTGGAGGGGGAGCTGCGTGTGGGATAGACACGTACCAGTTTCAAGTTGCCTGACAAAAGTTTCGGAGGAATGCCCAGCCCACACGGGCCAAGGCGCTGCGCGCCATCGGGAAAGGGTCGATGTGGACCAACTCCCGCGGTCACCAGTGCAAGCCTTGCCAGCCCTCCCACTGTTTCAGACGCAGTGCGGCGGTGGAGGACGACCTGCACCGCTTCTGGACCTGCCTTGTCTTGAGTCGAATCCCCGACCCCGTCATCAGCGAGTCTCAGCACCTGGTGGCCAAAACAATGGAGCAGTTCCCGTCGTATCCAGTGGCATGGAGACGAGGATTGCAGCAAGCTGGGTTTACCACAGGAGCTCTGGAACAACACCCACCCCGAGCCACCATTGAAGCCACAAGGTACTTCTTGGTCCAAGGGGGCCCTATCAAGGGGAATTTCCATGTGGAAACCAACGCTGGAGGAGGGCGATTCCCGCTGGACCCGAGGCTGAGGATCGGATGGGGATTAGGAGCCAAAGATGCCGATCTAGAGACCATGGGAGCACTTCGAGGAGGCCTGCCAGGAAAGCAGACCATCAACCGCGGGGAGCTGTACGCGGTCGTCAAAGCCCTCCGCAACCTTGTTAGTGAGATCTTGATCGTGACATATTCAGCCTGTGTATCGAGGAATTCTGAGTGGGGCCCAGAGGACACATAGGACCGATATTGACCTCTGGCAAGGTGTTTGGGAGGCACATCTGGGGCTTGACGGGACCGTGGAGTTTCACAAAACCAAGACCCACCCGTCCGAATCCGAATTGTGGGACTATGACACCCAACCCTGGGCCTTCCTGGTAAATGAGCTGGCTAACAAGATAGCAAGCGACGCAACCACCCGCGTTCAGTTGCCCGAGTGGGTCACCCGAACCGTGCTGGAGGCCGATAGATAGCTCTGTCTGATCCAGCACCGCCTAGCCGCCATTCAGGAGTTGTCTGGGATGTTTTCCCCGCACCGTCCCCTGCCCCCACGAAAAGAGGGCGGATCCAAGCTCCAAAAAAGTGGGGCCACGCGCAGCACCGTCTTGAGATCCCTGAGAGGCTGCGATGCAAAATCTGATTCAGGTACCAGACTCAGGGAACCAAGGAATCCTGGCTGAGCCACCCATGCAAGCCGAATCATGCTAAGACCTTGATCTGGACACACCTCCCGCACCTCCATGTCTTCCTTGGGGTGGTCGTCGAAGGCCTTTGAATTGAACGCTCCCTGTGCTCCCCTCACAAGAACGGGAAAGAAGGCCAAGTCGAGACTTCTCAGAGGCCAGCTGCCGCGAGGACTGCAGCGGTGGCCGACAGCCCTCGCGACGTAGTCCCACGAAGATTGCTTCTGAGCTGTGGGCGTTCCAGCTCATAGTGTATATATCGATAGGGCTGGTTTGTGGGCCCGTGAAGCGCACGGATTCCACTTATAGCGTGCAACATGCAACATGGAGGAGGGAGGAGGAGGAGGAGGAGGAGGAGGAGGAGGAGGAGGAGGAGGAGGAGGAGGAGGGAGGAGGAGCAGGAGGAGGAGGACAGGAGGAGGAGGAGGAGGGAGGAGGAGGAGGAGGAGGAGGAGGAGGAGGCCAGGCGGGCAGCCAATGCTACCTCACCGACCTCTGGGAGCCCTCGCCGGGCCACGGGACCACCAAGAGAACGGCTCGGGATGTATCGAAACACATGTCACATCCGATGTCTCGGATGCCACCTCACCGACGCTGTCCAGGCCGATCTGGGGCCCGTGATCGGCGCACACGCACGTGCCTCACTGGCCAGCAAGCAGCTGGCGGCGCGCATGGCCAGGAGCACACGGTGCCCTGAGATTCGGGAGTGGAGAGACCTCCCTTTCGTAAAACGTGGTTCAGTGAAAACGCCCTCGGGCCCAAACCTGGCGGGCGCAAGCCTGGAAAACGACGGCCGCGGCGCCCTCTCGAGAACAGAAAACGGACAACTCACTAATCGACCTGTCAGGGCAGGAGGTCTGTCTCGCTGCAGCTGTCTCGCAGCCGGCGATCTCGCCTCGAGTCGGGCACTGGGACCCCCGCGGGCCGATCCGGCTAGGGATGCGCAGCGGAAGGATGGGGTCCAGGGCTGCGGTCGCTTGCCTCTACGATGGCGATGCTTAAGAAAACTTACGTTTTCGGCCAGAGTCTCGATTATTCTTAATTGTTCAATGAAAATCCTAAGAGTTTAACGGAAATGTTAGGTTTTTATTCAAGTTATGAGACTATGAATTTCTTAACCCATGATTTCTTAAGCATTTCGCAGGGTGTATGTTTGTTCGCGACGTCGAATCCCAAGGTGTGCAGGCAGGACGAGGACGGCGGCTTCACAAAGGACGGAGGACGGGTAGGTGGCCACATGCGAACCCTGCCCCTACCGCCCACGTTTTCTGAGGGGGGGGGGGGGGTTCACTTTGCTCGGGAACTCCCGAGCGGAGTGAGCCCCACCCTCCCCCTCAAAATCGTGAAGGGTAGGGGTAGGGTTCGCATGTGGCCCCCTACCCAGGGTGTGCAGGCAGGACGAGGAGGGCGGCTCACAAAAGACGGGGGGCAGGGAGCCATTGAGCAGGGACCGACCGTCCCGGCAGTCCTATAGTCATACCACGACATGTTCTTAGAACCCAAACATGTTCTAAGAACAGAAGCAATGTTCTTAGAACACAGATCCGATGTGTGAAAACAAGACAGTCCCAACCGGAAATGTTCTAAGAACATTTCTCGGGTCGGGCGAAAGGGGGGGATAGCAAAGGGGGGGGGGGGGTGAGAATCAGCTCACGTAGCTGATTTTCCCGGCGCCTCCCGGCGCCGGAGGCGCCCATGTATCGAGGAATGGGCCCCTCGGTGGGGCCGAAACCAGCTGCATGCAGCAAATTTCGTAACCCCCCCTTTCCCAATCCCCCCCTTTCGTCTGGCCCGAATTTCGTGGGAGCCACAAAAGGTTTTTGGAACACTGCTTGGTGGGGCAGCAGGCGAGCCGGGACGCTTCGCCACTGCTTGAAGCCAGAGGTCTGAGGGGGGCCGGCCCAGCCGAGACGACAGCGGCTCCTCCTCCTCCTCCTCCTCCTCCTCCTCCTCCTCCTCCTCCTCGCCCAGCCCAGGTCGGTTCAACATGAGCACCTGGACCGCCCTCCGACCCGCCTTGCCGGAGCGGACCTGGCCATGGCGACAAGAATGAAGGGGCCCACAGACACACAAATACATACACACACACAAAGAAAAATAGTCCCCAATATTTTGTCCCATATGTTCTGAGTTCTTGTCTCCCCCACCACTTCCCATACTTTCCTGTCTTTTCCTGGGGATCGACGATTCATTGTGTCTGTGTGTTTCTTCCCCTCCTTTAAAAATTACCCTGGCGACGTACCCAACCCCTGCGCAAAAGCGGGGCGCAAATAGTTTAGGATACTTTATAAGGGGGCGATGACGGAGCGAGGGTTACATATGTCTGCAGACGGAATTCGGGAGACTCGCAGGACACTGGCTACAGGAAAAGGGCTTGATAAAGCTGATGATTTACAATTCCTGAGCACTCCTAGCCACTTCGAAAACGGGGATCACAGCAGGCCTCGAAAGTGGCGACAGGTTCACAGATCGCAGCCCCGCAGGGATGGCGAGGTCTCATTTGAATCTGCCCGTGGCCCTCACTGTGCTGGGCCCCCCAGCAGGCCTCGAAAATGGCGGCAGTTTCGCAGATCGCAGCCCCCCAGGGATGGCGAGGTCTAATTTGAATCCGCGCGTGGCCCTCACTGTGCTGGGCCCCCCAGCAGGCCTCGAAAATGGCGACAGTTTCGCAGATCGCAGCCCCCCAGGGATGGCGAGGTCTAATTTGAATCCGCGCGTGGCCCTCACTGTGCTGGGCCCCCCAGCAGGCCTCGAAAATGGCGACAGTTTCGCAGATCGCAGCCCCCCAGGGATGGCGAGGTCTAATTTGAATCCGCGCGTGGCCCTCACTGTGCTGGGCCCCCCAGCAGGCCTCGAAAATGGCGACAGTTTCGCAGATCGCAGCCCCCCAGGGATGGCGAGGTCTAATTTGAATCCGCCCGTGGCCCTCACTGTGCTGGGCCCCCCAGCAGGCCTCGAAAATGGCGACAGTTTCGCAGATCGCAGCCCCCCAGGGATGGCGAGGTCTAATTTGAATCCGCGCGTGGCCCTCACTGCTGGGCCCCCCAGCAGGCCTCGAAAATGGCGACAGTTTCGCA